GGATGGCGTTTGATGGATATAGTTGGTGGTGATGGGAGGTGGGGGTGGACGAGGGGAGAAGGACGGAAGGGGAGGAAAGGAGAAGGTGGGGAAGGGTGTGGACCTGAGGTTTTCCATTGTATTTTTCTTTACTTAATTTTAATACATTAACTGAAGTGAATAATTTTACAAATTTTGTAAATCACAATGCCGAATTGGTTAAATTAAACTTAAATGACCAAAATAGACTTTAGGTATAAAACCAAAAAGGTCTTTAACCCTGAAGTGAATAAATAATCGGGAAACTTGAATCTAATTACATTTGAGTCCTGCTAGAGTTGTAGGACTATATATGGCTTTTGGTTAATTTCACATGAAATGCTTGAGCTGTAAGAACACATCTGAGGATCCCAATCTGGTGGCGTTTACATAATCTTGGGGACAATGGGCGCTGCTCCTGGTTTTACAAACCCATTAGCCTAACCATTTTGAGGAATCGCCCTTCTTTGTAGTCAGGTCCCTTCATATACGGAATGGTGAAACTTCTTTTCAGCTCACCAAAAACATTGGCCACCATCGGTATTACCTTCTCTGGGGAGAAGTAATTCTTGTTTGGCTCTTCCGGCAGAACCTGCACATATAATCAACAGCATATATAAGAAGTATGTAACTATTTTATAATGTGGACTGAAATTAAGGCCTATGTTTTTTTTTTTAAAGTTCTTAGTTTGGAGTATACGTCTTAGGAGTAAAACTTGTATGGTAACGTTTTCATATTTTTGTTTTAAAAAAAAAAAAAAAAAAAAAAAAAAAACTGAAAACAAAAATCTAAAAATTATTTTTATGAGTTTTCTAAATTTAGCTTGAAATTGAAGAATTTTAGTTTATAATTTAAAAAAAATATATAAATGATTATTATCCAAATTAATTAGTTTTTTATTTTAGTTTTTAATTTAGCTGAAAACTGAAAACGATTATACCTGCAGTTCATATTCCCTATTACTGTAGATGCAATTCCCAAAGTGCTTGAACATTAGGGCCTTGTCATCATAAGGCAACCTAGGCACCAGGTCATTCCCATAAACAAACCTAAAATAATTAATTTTGTGCTGTATCATTTTCTTTTCCATGTACTCCCCAAAAACCTTATCACCAACCCTAGGTTGCCCGAATGTATAAACTCCCTCCAACCTCTCCAACAAGAGTTTTGAATCATTTCCCTTGTGAAATGTTAGAACTGCTGGAAAGAGAATTGCTAGTGCACCACCTAAACTGTGCCCAGTTACTATAAATTTTGCTCTCTCATTTTCAAGCAGAAGCTTTTTCAGCATGTCCCTGATGGCATAGTAAGCTAAGCCCCCTGGGCCGGCATCGACTTGTTTGATATTCTCTGGCTCCGGCCAACCAACATCTCTCTGTAAACCTAGAGCTTTCATGAAACCTCCATGGATCTTTCCAACCCCTTCAAGTTGATACCAGGAGATGTCAAAGTCAGTGCACCATGCATCCGCATCAAAGGGTTCAGTGCCTCTAAAGGCCACAACAATAATGTCATGGTCCGCATTTCTGTCACGTAGAATACAGGCTTGGGTTGTGGATTTTCCTTGATAATCTGCCAGACAGTATATAAGTTCAGTTTTTGTTTTTATACAATTGATCGTATACCTACATGTATAAATGTTTGCCAGTGTAGTAGTATTCAAATTTGAATTTAATATATTAAATTATTACTACCCTATTATGTGACAGAACTCTTGTGTGGCCACCCAATATTGTTGCATTAAAAAAAGTTTTTGAGTAGTTTTAGTAATTCTTACCATTCCGGAAGTCGTAAGAGCCGATGAACTCCATCTGCCAAAATAATAAGGAAAAGAAGAGTATGTTTTTACAATTAATTCAATATTAATAAATTATTGGAAGCATTGGATATATTAAAGATGTATATGAATAAAATCATCAAACCTTCCAGTGATCTTGGACTGTAGTTTCGATGTAGAATTTGTTCTCGTACGATATTTTAGAAGCCATCATACTGAGTGCTGCATTATACCTGACATCTCCATGTTTGATGCTTTTGTCCAGCTCCACTCGTTTGTCCAAATTTCCAATGAACGACAAGAACGTTCTTGAGTCTTTCTTTGGTACTATATCCTCACCTATGGATAATAATCAATTAACTCCGTTTATATCCAACACCAATCTTAATTATTTTCTGTATTGTCTATTGACCTCATGATTCATACAGATTGATTAAACTATCACAACTACAAGTGATAATAACTAAACAGAAAGAAAAAAAATTAAAAACATTTCATATATCATAACTACTACAATATATGGATCTAGCTACATATGTTCACGACGGTCATGCCAAATTTGCCAACGGGGACGAATATATATTAAACGGATACCTCACCATTGGGCTAGCTAGGCTAACTATCAATCTGAAATTTATTTCATATACTAGAGAAAAATTGGCTTCTCACTAATGATCACGTGCGAGAGGCATCAAACTCTCTCCTGTAGGAGCGAGGACCATGGTTTAGAAACGCCAGTTGCCAACTAGCTTCGTAATTAGAATTGTTAACATACTTTAGAAATACCAGTTGCTTATGATCTAGCGGGCCAGCAGTGCTGCCTCCAATTAAGTGTTTCCATGAACGCTACCATTCTTCGTGACATTAATCATCATTAAAGTTAACCAAAATAAGTTGCGTATGTACACTAAGAATATTTTAAGAACAAAAATGTTATTCTTAACTCTATTTGTAGCATCTCTATTAGAGAGCTAGTTAAGATTGTACAAATAGATGGTAATTGTAGCAGTACTCTTTTAAGAATGCTAGCGCTAGAAGGTAGGTGAAAGAAAAAAAAACATAGAAAAAGAATGCTGCAAGGTAGACCTTTATGCTATATTGGGATGAGGGTTTTTCAAGTTTCAAGGAATTAATTGATGCCAAATTAGTAAGTAATGGACCACAAAATGTAGCATAGAAGGGATTAGACCTTCCAGGAGCATTACATAGGCATATGAGAGAGATTTGTTAATCCTTTTTTGGAAGGTGTCATCTACAATTCCCTCTCACATGCCTGCTCATGTAGGGTTTTTTCTAATCCCCTCTATACAACATTTTATGATCCTTACTTTATAACTTGACAACAATCCCTTGAAACTTGGCAACCCTCATCATAACATAGCTTTAGTAATTAAACTGTGTTTTTTTAACCAAATTTTGTGGATAATAAGAATGAGTATTAATTTGAATAGCAGCAACAACTGTGAATACTGGTAAGAGATTAGTTACCAATTAATTTAAGTAAATCTAAAAATTTGTAAAAACAGATTAACTGCATGCATGCAAGGGAAGCAAATTATATATACCTCGCAGCAAATTTTTGAACAGTCCGACCAAGTTTTGAGTACTTGAGAAAAGGTTCAAGCAGATCTCGATCCCCCTGCCAATCATCGCCATTGGCGTTGCTATAAACAGAAGCAACTTTTGAACCACAATCACTAGTACAAAAAAGACTTTGCGCGACGTAAGACCGTCGTCGCGCAAAGTCAAAAATACGTCGCCCAAAAAGTAGCCAAACGTACCTTCGTCGCGCAAGAACCGTCGCGCGAAGGCAGTGAAGGAAGGCTTTGCGCGACGCAGTGCCTACCTACGTCACGCAAAGTAGCTTTGCGCGACGCAGTGCCTACCTACGTCGCGCAAAGATACGTCGCGCAAAGTAGCTTTGCGCGACGTAGGACCTGCGTCGCGCAAAGCTACTTTGCGTGACGCAGTGCCTACATGCGTCGCGCAAAGCTACTTTGCGCGACGTAAGACCTACGTCGCGTAAAGCTACTTTGCGCGACGTAGGTAGGCACTGCGTCGCGCAAACCTTTTTTTTTTTTTCATTTATATTTTTTTTATTTAATTTTTAATAAATATTATAATTAAATTCTAAACAATAATTAATAAACCAAGAAAAAGTAATTAATTATAGAATATATGAAAATGTACGTTTGTCTGAACAAAAAAAATAAAAAACTGCAAGTCTTCTAAGTTTAATACATCATGCTACTCGGTATCGTTTGGGCGAAATGGCTGGGAAGTCGAAGGTGGAGCAACATTAGGTGCTAGCATCGTCGGGATTTGGAGGCCGGACATCGCTAAGGCCTGAACAATCATATTCATCCTCTCGTCCTGGGCCTTAATATGGTCACCCTGGGCCGCAACCTGACCTCTTAGGGTTCTCACTTCCTCCTTCAAGGAATTGACCTCTCCTGTGGACAATTTGGAAGAAGAGGCACCCGTTTCACGAACCCCCGCCTTCCCCGTACACTGAACAACCTTACCATGACGACGACCGAACTTCTGATCCAGGACCTCAGTCACGATCTGAACATCTGCATCCTTGGGTACAATGACGTCCTCGATCGGGGTCTCTGGGGGAAGCTGCGATGTTGCTTCTTGGAGAATAGCAGTTAAACCGTGGCAGTATGTGTATTTTGTGAGCAAAAATGATAGATTTTTTCACTGATTTGTTCCACCTCATGAAAGGTTTAGAATAAACTTTACATGGGATATGTGGGTTATAATGCAACTGCTCAAAAGTATAGTATTTAAATGGTTGGGTCCTGCACTGCTTAAGTCTTTTCAAGTAAAATTCTCATCTAAGGTAATACCGTAATAGCTCGAGGCAATGGGTTAAGCAGTCAGGCATATCATATATAAGTATGTGCATCAAATGTTTTCTAGTTTCAATCCCCTGTGAAAAGTTAACACTTCCTACAAATCTGGAAAAGCCATATGCAAGGCTCATTCTTCAGAACAAGAATACAGGTTTTTCACAACAACTATCTAAAAGAACAAGATTTTGAAGAATACATCTAACATGCATGAATACTATATGTAAGTCAATGCCAATTAAATAAGCAAAAGGAACATTTCTGTTATGCAGAATAAAAATTAACAACATAAAATAAGATATAATAAGGAAATCTTTTACGAGAATAAAATGTTACAAGTTCTTACGTTCTGCAATAAACTAGCTGAAGAACAAAGTGCGATATTATGTCCTTGTTGACGACCTCAGATGCCTGAGGATGCCTCATATTTGTCTTCCATAGTTCTATTGCCTGTAAAATGCCAAAATGTTAATTTTCTAAAAGGGTGCAATAACGGAAATGAAAAGAATTTCAACCTGGAACTACGGTTTTACCAAACTAACAATTATATGAATCAAACTAACAATTATATATACTTCCCAATATACCATTTCGAATAGCAAACTCCCCACAGCAATCATTTTCATAGACTAAAAAGCCAAAACCCATTTCGAATACCAAACTCCCCAGAGCAATCAAACTAACAATTATATGTACAATCGTGGTACACAACAGGTTTGACACCAGGATTTTTCAAAATCACTATAGCAGGTGTAGATTTTACCTCAAACCTGTTGGAAAGCATATAAGTTCCTATGAAATCAAAGATGCATAATTTTCGGTACCCAATTTATAGTAACAGTTCAAGTTTAAACTCACAATAGTAGTGTTTGTGTTATTTTAGACTCAAGTCACATAATATTTTGAAATATGGAGAACCTGGAGAACAGTACTCTTTCAAGAATTAAACTAAAAGGACAATTCCTCTTCTTACCATAGCACGAATGCAAAAGAAGCATGACTCCAATAATTTTTAGCAGTTTGGCGTATGAATGGAGCAGCACGCACCCCTGTTTTTGAGAAGAAAATGACTTTTACCTGTGAACCAGAAGAACAAAACCATTATCCAAGCGACAGGTCGAAAGTATTAACAATAGATAGCAGCATGTTGCGAAGGCATCTATTTATACGTTGATCAATTAAAATGCATTAGCAAAATATTGAATCTGCAAGTACCTTGTGAAGACTAACTTTTGCTAGAAACTTTTGCCCCTGAAAATTGAAGTATGCATTCATATCATTTTCAGGTATGTTAAAAGGTGACAGAAAATAAAGAGCAGAAAAGCGAAAAAAGGAAAGGTGAATTAATAACACGCGTAAATCAGCTAAGCAAAAATAAAATCATATGAGAAACCAGATTGGAATCATTGGATAACCTTATACTGGATCAACCTTGAGTTATCTTTTGAACAAATGCGTGACTGAATGTGTGACTGAATACGAGGCAAACCAAGTACGGTTGTTGCAAACCAATGCGTGATTGAATCAACTGAAAATAAACAAAAAGGTACTGTTATCTAATATGAAAGAGTGCATTACAAGGCTTAGATAGGTTGGCAGTTGACCAAACCCAGTGAAGCTTAAGAACTAAAACCCAGATTTGCATCAGACCAACTAAATTCAGTAAATTAATTAAATCAATTCATCCTTAATTTTGCATCAGACCAACTAAATTCAGTAAGCAGACCAACATTTGCATCAGAAACCCTTACCTTGATTTTGGGAGTTGATTCCCGTCGGTTTCGATCGTGTGGCTGCCCGTCGTTTAGAACGAGAGGGAAGAGATAGGTATACGGGAAAGAGAGAGGGAAGACAGGTCTGGGTTCAAGATTTGGGGATCAAGGTTGCGAAGAGGAGAGATAGAGGAGATGAGGACTATGGGAAGGGGAGATACGGGAAAGATAGAGGAGATGAAGTCAACAGGGTTCCTAAACGGGAAAGATGGAGCCAGAGGGAAAGATAGAGGAGATGAGGACTATGGGAAGAGGATATGCGTCTACTGGAAGAGAGATGAATACGGTAAAGATGGAAGGGTTCAAGGTTTTCAACTGGAAAGAAAGGGGTGAATGGGTTCAAGGTTCCCAAAATTAGAAAATTGAAAAAAAAAGCGCCTAACTTTCACTATTTACCTCCAAAATTTTCAACTGGCGCAACGTGGGTATACAATTTGACGTCGCGCAAAGTGGTTTTGCGCGACGATTACATTAAAGCGTCGCGCAAAGTAATTTGTTTTTTTTTTTTAATTATTAAAAAATTTATCGCACACGCCAAGTCCATCACTCTTCAGCATCCAACCGTCAAACTTGTTTGTATATGCTTCGAGATCGCATACGCCAAAAATGGCAAAAAAAAAAATGCAGAGATCAAGTAACGGGACAACAAATTTCGACGGTTATAAAGGAAAAATCACGATTTAACGGTAGTTTTAACTCCGATTTTAATGATTTTTTACAGCTACACTCCTGGATCCTATATGAATACAATGAACTAATTCGATCATCAATTTAAAGTATTAATAGAAGTGGATACCACAAAATCTTATGTTATACTTAATGAAAGTATAAAATAAACTCTAAGTGTTAGTGTGAATCTATCGTTTTGATGGGAAACGCATTGTACGAAACTAATTTGAACGATCCAACCGTCAAACTTGTTTGTATATGCTTCAAGATCGCATACGCCAAAAATGGCAAAAAACAAGCATGCAGAGATCAAGTAACGGGACAACAAATTTCGACGGTTATAAAGGAAAAATCACGATTTAACGGTAGTTTTAACTCCGATTTTGATGATTTTTTACAGCTACACTCCTGGATCCTATATGAATACAATGAACTAATTCGATCGTCAATTTAAAGTATTAACACAAGTGGATACCACAAAATCTTATGTTATACTTAATGAAAGTATAAATAAACTCTAAGTGTTAGTGAATCTATCGTTTTGATGGGAAACGCATTGTACGAAACTAATTTGAACGATCCAACCGTCAAACTTGTTTGTATATGCTTCGAGATCGCATACGCCAAAAATGGAAAAAAACAAGCATGCAGAGATCAAGTAACGGGACAACAAATTTCGACGGTTATAAAGGAAAAATCACGATTTAACGGTAGTTTTAACTCCGATTTTGATGATTTTTTACAGCTACACTCCTGGATCCTATATGAATACAATGAACTAATTCGATCGTCAATTTAAAGTATTAATAGAAGTGGATATATGTTATACTTAATGAAAGTATAAATAAACTCTAAGTGTTAGTGAATCTATCGTTTTGATGGGAAACGCATTGTACGAAACTAATTTGAACGATCCAACCGTCAAACTTGTTTGTATATGCTTCGAGATCGCATACGCCAAAAATGGCAAAAAACAAGCATGCAGAGATCAAGTAACGGGACAACAAATTTCGACGGTTATAAAGGAAAAATCACGATTTAACGGTAGTTTTAACTCCGATTTTGATGATTTTTTACAGCTACACTCCTGGATCCTATATGAATACAATGAACTAATTCGATCATCAATTTAAAGTATTAATAAAAGTGGATACCATAAAATCTTATGTTATACTTAATGAAAGTATAAATAAACTCTAAGTGTTAGTGAATCTATCGTTTTGATGGGAAACGCATTGTACGAAACTAATTTGAATGATCCAACCGTCAAACTTGTTTGTATATGCTTCGAGATCGCATACGCCAAAAATGGCAAAAAACAAGCATGCAGAGATCAAGTAACGGGACAATAAATTTCGACGGTTATAAAGGAAAAATCACGATTTAACGGTAGTTTTAACTCCGATTTTGATGATTTTTTACAGCTACACTCCTGGATCCTATATGAATACAATGAACTAATTCGATCATCAATTTAAAGTATTAATAGAAGTGGATACCATAAAATCTTATGTTATACTTAATGAAAGTATAAATAAACTCTAAGTGTTAGTGAATCTATCGTTTTGATGGGAAACACATTGTACGAAACTAATTTGAACGATCCAACCGTCAAACTTGTTTGTATATGCTTCGAGATCGCATACGCCAAAAATGGCAAAAAACAAGCATGCAGAGATCAAGTAACGGGACAACAAATTTCGACGGTTATAAAGGAAAAATCACGATTTAACGGTAGTTTTAACTCCGATTTTGATGATTTTTTACAGCTACACTCCTGGATCCTATATGAATACAATGAACTAATACGATCGTCAATTTAAAGTATTAACACAAGTGGATACCACAAAATCTTATGTTATACTTAATGAAAGTATAAATAAAGTTTAAGTTTGATTGCGCGACGCACATTCCTAATGTCACATAAAGTCTCTTTGCGTGACGCACATACGTCACGCAAAGATGTGCCTACGTCACGCAAACAATTCTTTTGGTATTTCCTTCAGTTTGATCATCAACTCCAAACATTCTAGCCTCCCAAACAGATCAAATGAAAAGAAAAAAAAGTTGGTGACTTTGCGCGACGTAGGTGGGCATGCGTCGCGCAAAGGTGGGAAAAAGCGGTAAATTCTTAGGGTTTGGCGCCAAAATTTTGCGCGACGAAGGATTACGTCGCGCAAAGATGTTTTGCGCGACGTAGGTGTACGTACGTCGCGCAAAACGGCTTTGCGCGACGTTATTTTATGCGTCGCGCAAGTTTTCGTCGCGCAAACATGTTTTTGTACTAGTGAATGGAGAGAAATATGAGCCACCTCCGGTCACGGTCGTCCTCGGTATCCATAGAAGAGTGGACAAACCTCCTCCTCTTCAAGCTACTGGAAAACAAGATGTGAAGTAGATCAAAAAATCCCACATCGCTGGGATCCAACAGCATGTAGTCGCAAGAGAAACTCTTGTTACAAGAAGCCATGAGAGAATGTTGGAGTATTCTTAGTGGTTGAGTTTCCAATGTTTTCTTTTCTGTTTTCCCAATTCCACGCTTAGCACTATTTATAGCACGGTTTGGTCACAAAATAAACGAGATTAAAATAATACTATTCTTGATCAGCTATGTTGGCTGCTACAAGTGAAAGAACTAGGTAATTACTCTGAAGTCTTTTCTTGGACTTTCACTGACGCGTTCTTCAAGATAATTCATATATAAAATGTGGAATATACTTTAACATGTGGGGCAAATAACAAACACAAATTTGATTGAAAGCCCATGTCCTATAATCCACCTGACAAAAACATAGAAGTCTGTTAATCTAATGTGTATAGTACATTATATAGAGAGCAATTCACATATTTATTTTTATTTTTTACACATTTTTTGTTAATATTTTTCAATTCATTTGATCCGACGATCATAAATTAAAAGAGTGTGAAAAACTAAAAAGTGTGTGCAGATAGTACCAACATATATATATATATATGTGTGTGTGTGTATGTGTGTGTGTGTGTGTGGAGTTGTGAACATAGAAGTGATTTTGAGAAAGAGTCTCACATTGGTGAAAAGAGATATCTTGTGTGTGTGTGTGTGTCGATTTGTGAACATAAGAGTGATTTTGAGTATAAGTCACACATTGATGGAAAGAGGTATCTTGCATGGGCTTATAGAGATTGGGCTACTCCATATATTACTAATTGGTTTTATGATAAAACCTCAACTACGTGTTGAGAATAAGTTTTATATTGATGGAATGAGAGATCTTGTATGAACTTATAAGAGATTGAATCAATCCTTATATTATCAATTAATTTTATAATAAAATCTTAACTTTCTTTAATTATATTAAAAAACGTGCATGGAGCACGAATGCAACTTTATCAGAGACTTGCAGGAAAATCCACAATACTACAACCTCGAACCTGACTTTTTTAATGGTTGATAGAGAAAGGAGGGACTGAAAGTATATATTTATACGCTAGGTTCGTTTAATCTGTCTTATCTGTTGGTGATAAGCCAGATAACAAATAAAAAAATTCATATTCTCTGTAAATAACATTTATTATATTATTGTTCACATTTGGGTCGATATGTAATATGTATTAGTTAGGATATTTTCTATATAAATTTAAAGCCTATAAATAGGAACTATAAGAGAAATAACGTACACTTGAATTTTCTCTTCCACTTCTCTCTATTCTCTCTTAAATTGTGCTTGATTTTTCTATTTTGCTTTAGTTTTGTTCCACTGGGTTTTTCGAGCTAGGTTTTATCGAGACAACTATAATTGATTAGTGAACATTCAAAAAGAAGTGTTGTAAATAATAAACTTACTATGTTGTTGTTGACTTCTGGGTTAATATGTAATTAGTTTAGGACATTTTCTATATAATCCTTAAGCCTATAAATACGCAATAATGAAAGAAAGTAAACTTGATTAATGACTTTTTTTCATCATACGCGTTTTTTTTTTTTTTTGTTAGTGGTAGAGAACTTTCGTTAAATAAAGTACAAACAGACAAAGTACCTCTTACATATCCTTAGAAAGGACTGGCATACAAAAAGAAACGCCACTTATGCAGAGCATGAATGATTCTTCTCTGCATCATTTACAAAATGGTACACAAAAAAATACATAAAAGGGTTTCAACCCAAAATGAAAAATCATCTACAGAGGTCAGTAGATAAAACCCTAGGGGTGCGTTTGTTGCGCTGGACTGTCTCGGACTGGACTAGCTGCCGGGACTAAGCTGGACTGGCTTAGACTGGACTAAGCTGGACTAACTTAGTGAAGCGTTTGGTGCAGTCTCGGACTAAGAAGCAGGATAAGAAAAACAGTACTGTTCACCAGATTTGTGTTTGCTTAGACTAGGACTACAAATTTTTGCCATTGTGTAATAGAGTAATGCTACAAATCTCATGATATGGGTTAATTGGAGCATATTTTTGCCATGTATATTATGAATCTTAAAAAAAATTGACAATTGTTTTGTTTCTATTACCTGCTAATAGAATTGGGTTTAATTTGCAAATGTAGCTTGATTTAAACTCTATCACCCAACAGAAGAAAAATAATAGTGGCCAATACATGCAACTTCAACAAATACAAGTACATAAGATCTCCATAATTTAGAAAATCCTAGTTAACATTAGTTAA